TAGCTTAGCACGTCTCTTTACTCCTTATAGAGATTGGCTAGGGAAAGCCCAGTAGGACGTTAAATAATACAATAATAACAACAAAAATTAGTTTTCTACAGTCACCGCAGACGATGGCTTGATGACAATAATGCCATAGACCAACAAAAACAATAGAATTCTACACACAACTATCGAACCTCAAGATAGGCCATACCAAGCCCATATCCATCAAGTGAAGCTTATAAGGACTACACGAACAGGCAAATGTATTCGAAGTCACAATCCATTCTTATTGGGCACAACAAGTTCGTCAGAAACTCCAAGGGAATTGATACACTATGTAGGCAGGAAACTAACTCTAGATTAGAGTATGGGGTAATCGGTCTTATTAAAGCATAGAAAAAGGCCAATGGCTCTCCGGGGTAACACTGAAAGAAAAAGAAGAAAGTCGTGTACAGCTTCGATATGGACTCGTGGGTAGAAATGTCAAACGGTACGTAGCCAGGAAGAGCCTGGTCATATTCGACCAGTTCCTGTCTCATTTTGAACCTCGAAACATTTCTGCCCCTGCCCTTACTCGCATGCCGATGTCATCGAAATGATGTAAGAGGCATTGGTTCTATTACGGTCAAGTCGACCAGCGAACCTCCTGACAAAGCATTTACTTTTGAGCTGCTCTACATCAGGCCGTGAAAGATATGGAGGGTCGTAACAAATGCGGGCTATCGAGCTGCCCAGAGACGCCGTTGCTCCATCGCCAGCACAACTTCAAAAACAAAAGACAGCCTAGTAGCCGTTCATCGTCATTCGTTGCGAGTTTCGGCTCAACTCGCGGTCAGCGGCAGGACTGATGGGTCGGCTGCTAGCCCCACCATGAGCACTGCTCTCCTTCAGGGCCAGCAGTTGCTTGGCACGGAAGGTCTCGTAATGGATCTGAGAGGTGGTCTCGATAAGGTCCTGGAGGTGCGTTCGGAGAAGGAAGTCTCGGAGATAGACAAATTCGCAGTGAGTCTCGTCCTCAACATTGATGACACCCCATCGGTTCTGGCGGCCGCGGACCTGCTTACCATTGACGATAATCGACTTCTCGGAACCGACAACTGCGAAAGGAACAAGATTCTAATACGTATTAATATGTGCACAATCCGAATTTACTCAAGCGACGGAGACAAACCTTAATCTGACCGTTCAGAGCACGCTCCTCATCATCAAATTCCTCGTTATCATAGGGGTACATCTTGAGGTTGTGGAAAGCGAACTCCTCCTTGATGCGCTCCTTGAACTCCTGACGCTCCTCAACGGTCAGAGTGTCGGCCTTGGCAATGACAGGTACCACGTTAACAACATCAGACAACTTCTTCAAGACGACAATATCAATGGGCTTGAGAGAGTGGCCAGATGGCTGGATGAAAAAGAGACAGCAGTGGATACGGGTATCCTGGATGTAGCGCTCTCGCTGTGCAGTGAGCTCCTTGCGCAAGTACGCGGAGTGCTGATCCTTGATGTACTTGACGATGGGGTCCCAACAGCGGTCGTTGTTGACAAGGTCGCCGTAGCCGGGAGTATCGACAATGTTGAGTCTGAGTCGGACACCGTTCTCCTCAATGTTGTGAGAAACGGCCTGGATCTCAGTGGTCTGGCGGATAGGCTCGTCGGGCTGGAAGCGACCCTTGGAGTCGATCAGGTGAGAAGCAAAGATAGTGTTGATGAGCGTCGACTTGCCCATACCGGTCTGACCTACAATGTGCAAGACATGTCAGTATAGTAACTCAATGTAGACCGACAGTTGGGCTGCGAGCAATCACACCATGGTAGGTTACAATAGGGACGATTGAAACAGAGTCGTCACTTACCAACACAGATGACGTTGAATTGGAAACCACGTTTCAAGAGCTTCTTCTCAATTTGAGAAGTGATGCTGTCGAAACCGACATGGCTCTGAGGATAGATAGTGTTGGGAGGAGCGGCAGCCATCTTGAATAACCCGTACGGGAGAGAAGTGTTCGATTCAAACGGTGAACGAAGGTAAGAGTAGAGCTCGGGAATGTTGTGAATATTCCAAGAAAGAAAGACTGGACTCAAAGCAGCTAAGGTCAACACGAGCGCGAACAGTTGGCAAGGTCAAAGTGACACCTGAAGATGTAGCGAAGCTGGGAGTTGGAGATTTAGGAGAGGCGGCGTAGAAACCGATCCTAGGGGGAACTTTTCGGGCACTGGGCTTCCTGCCACCTTAGCAAACAATTTCCCTACTAGAAGGGAGGTGTCAGGGAGGTCCAGGGTCCCAAAGAAAGGGGGAAAGCGCGTTTCGAGCTTCTCATTGGTTCAAGAAGGTCAGTGCGTCTGTTAGCTGGTGATTGGCTGGCGGCATTTCGAGATAGCCCAGGCCATCAGACTTTTGAGCTGCAATTTAAAGCCTTGCGCATTTTGATCATCGCGACCCCAATTCGAGCCCGACGACCTATAGACGTTTCAGCTCTATCAGGAAACAACCATCCACAATCGAAATACTGGGACATTTATCAATTCAATTCGTTTCGTTTCCAAGACCTCAGCCAGCACCGGCCTTGGGACTTCGACTGGGACTTGACCACCAAAACCGATATAGTTCCATCATCTTCAAGCCCATTAACATCACTCTGTGAAGATGGCTGCTGCGCTTCTCCCCCGAATATACTCTCCGACCGTACTATCTACGGTATATTTTCGCCAATTTACCAAGAAGCTCTTCCCGTCGTTGTCGATTGCGATCCCTGGCGTTTCCTTAAACCTTCCCACCATCGATGATATCTGGGAATCTGTGCTACGAGCGGTACCTAAGAACAAGGTCTCCCATTCGAGAAAACGACACAGACAAATGGCGGGCAAGGCGCTGAAGGATGTGAACAATTTGTGTAAATGTCCTGGATGTGGTCAACCCAAGCGTACACACCGATTATGCCAAACCTGCTTAGAAGGTATATAGTTGCTCTCTGATATAAACGAGGTCATATCCAATCTAACAACCTATAGAAATGAGACAAATTTGGCGTCAGGACTACCCTAATGATAGGTCGATCTGAGGAGAAAAGAATATGGAACATTGATGATTTACCACTGTACAGTCACCACGGAATCATGCATTCCATGGGCGTTTTGGCTTAGTTTGGGCCTTGTATGAATAAGAACAATATACTATGTAAAAGTTTCAACTACCGAGATCATATTCTGGTAGTTTGAAGATCTACGAGAACTGTGTTTATCTCTGTGTACGGAGTATATGAGATTGAAGTAGCATGGCTTTAGCAGGTATGCAAGAGTAGGTAGGTATTGTGGTATGTTCCACCTATCAAGAAATAAATGGCCAACTAGGAGTGCTGTATTCCTTCCTAGGTACCTACCTACCTACTAGGTAGGTACTACCTGAGGCACCTAGGTACGGATATCTTGAATGCTTTGCCTCGATTTAGAGCTTTATATTTATGACCCCGTGTTGCCCCACCAAGGCCACTGGCATCTATCCGTAGTTCAGTCCAAGCCAAGCACTTTCATTCATACAACGTCATATCGAAGAGCGAGAGAAGCACGATATCTAGCACGTCGTGGGAGAGATGGTAAGGCCGACTGAAGACTCAGCTACTGATAGAAAGGCAACTAATCTCACTACCTAGTCAAAACAATATTTGACCACGCATACCGTGGATAATGGTGAGCTTGACCTCCCCGCCGCGGAGTGAATCAATGAAGCAAGCAGTTTACTAAAAGTGTATAGCCCACATCACCGACATCTTTTCCATTGCGACGACATCCAAAGCTGTAATCTCAGGCAGTGGATCTTCCACGCTTCACATTCATGATACAACTGATGCTTCATTCCCACTCAAGCAGTCCATCTCAGATGCACACAAGTTGGGGTGCCACCACGTGTGCACCTCACGGAATGGCAACGTCGCAGCGAGTGCTGGATTTGGCGGCGAGGTAAAAATTTGGAAAGTCGACAACGACACTGGCGAATGGAGTTTAAACGGCGAGATTACAGGATCCTCATCTAAGCCTGGTGAAGCCTGGGCCATGGCGTTGAGTGAGAATGGGTCTTACCTGGCTACTACTACAAACGATGGCCGAGTCAACGTTTGGGATGTTATGGATGAGAAGAAGCCCAAGATTCGTGAGTACGAAACCGGAAGTGCTGGATCGGGAAGCTTTGGCATGTCAGTTGACTTGAGCCGGGATGGGAAATACACCGCCAGCGGCCACCAGAATGGATCTGTCTACATTTTCAACAATGATACGGGAAGAGTCCTGTACTCATTATCTGGTAAGTTGCCTCGCACACCTCTTACATACTATTTCTCTGACATGTGCTACCAGGTCTCGCAAAGCCTGTACGATCAGTTGCCTTTTCTCCTGGTAATACTCGACTTGCTGCAGCAGGTGACGCTGGAATCATCGCCCTTTACGACATGAAACACGGAGAACATGTTGGGAACCTGACTGGACACTCCTCATGGATCACATCACTCGACTGGAGTGATACAGGAGAGTACCTGCTAAGTGGTTCAATGGATGGAAAGGTCAAGGTATGGTCAATTGAGCGAAGCGCGTGTGTGGCAACCCATAGTGAGACAGATAAAGCTCTTTGGTCTGTAAAGTGGCTACCGAAGACTGTCAGAAGCGAGATGTTCTGCACTGGTGGCGCAAACAGGAGCCTTTCGTTCTACCGAGAGGCTACTGGTGGTTGATCATTGCATAATAGAGACGGGAAGCTCTCGGTGATGAGACAATTCGACCACCAAGACAAAGTCAGAAAAAAGAAAAACATTATAAGCTCATATTATCACGTTTCACTAACAGCTTGTATTTGTGAACCTGATGGCATCAATACGATAGATCAGCGAAATGCAATGAAATCCACAAACTGAGAGCAAGATCGGGAATTCTAGCAGCACTTAAGGTAAGCATCAAATTCTAAAACTTAAATATCGTCACCAATTCATGTCATTCGAAACAGCAACTTCTTGCTTTACCATGACAATCCCCAATAATCAGTGTCACAGAATATGATGCAAGCCACGTGATCTCGCGCTTAAGTTCGCGTTGTCCTGCCAATATTAAGGCTTCTTTGCACGTCATGCATTTAGTCCCCTCCAGCCTTCCCATTAGAGCCACCCATCCTAGTCACTGACCCTGTATCCGTACCTGTGGTCAATTTACGAACGACCTCACATTTCGATCAACATCACTCACCACAAAGCATCCGTTCTCTCAACGTTAACCGTTAAAGTTGCAAATTGTTTTTACTGTTCAGAAACAGCCAGCGCCTGTTCGCAACTCTATCGATTTCACTTACAATTCATATTCATCAAGCGTCATCCTCAGCATTCAACAGCGCCATCTCGTTTTAGCAGCTGAGCCCACTATGCCCACAACTCGACGATCCGCTGCCAGCACTCGCAGCAGGGGCCCGCCAGCCAAGGGACAGTCTACTCTGAGTTTCTCAAACAAAGTCACCAAACCAGTACCCAAAAGCGCCAAGAAATCTGCCATCTCTGCTTCCATCTCAAAGCTCGACCCCAGCCAGCATGCTGCACAGCGTGAGGTTGAAAATATTGTTGTCGACGACCATGAATCCATAGAGGTTGATAAGGAAGAAGAAGTTGAGGCAGTCCTCGAACCTGTGAAGTCTGAATTAGAGCTGCAAGCAGAGAAAGTTACAGACACACAGATCAAGAAGTATTGGAAGTCCATTGAAGGGCAATGGACTACGCCGCGATTGCACCAGCAAGATGTGTCTTTGAGTGAGAAGGTTCTTCGATATTTCGATGTCAGCTCACAATATGGTGTAAGTCAGCTTGGGCTATCATGGATTCACCGCAGCTAACCTGCGCAGCCCTGTATAGGCATGCATCGCATTAAGCGCTGGAAACGAGCTGAACGCCTGGGCCTCAACCCTCCAATTGAAGTCCTAGCTGTTCTTCTCAAGGAAGAAAGCAAGGGTAATGATAAAATTGAAACGGCTCACATGGATGAGATCCTCAATTCGACTGCTGTAGGTGCCTGAAATGTCGCCATCTGTTATTTGGTCACCAAGGCTATTTCACGGAGTAAGGTGTTTGAGGGAATGATGTTCAGGTGCCGATGTGGCTTTACTTTTTGTCTCAATTATTCTATAAGCGCATAAAGAGCTCGCCGAATAAGAAATCTATGATCTAAACTTGAGTCTTAAAATACACAAAAAAAATCTAGAGGAAACTGGCCTCGCGGCCTTCATCTAGTACCAAATACTCCTTGTCCGATGATGCGGAATGGGCTCTTTACCCGCCGCTTCTAGTTCCTTCATGCTATCATAGAGGAAGAAGTCTATTAGGATGGCGTTGACATGAGCGTCAGGGCGTTGACGCAGAATCTCTCGTCGAATCAGCTCAACGCACCAGATACTGCAGGCTAATTTGTTCAGTAAAGGAATAATACTGCAGTTTAAACGACTTACCTCGTATTTGTAGCTCCCATGAACATCCGCTCTCTATCATCTTCTTGTCCTTGATGGCAGCTGCAACCGTTGGAGAACAATACAGGGCACCCATAGTCATCAAAATCTGAGGGATACGATAATCCGCAAAGATTGTGATCTTGTCGATGTCTCGAAATTCGCCATATGACACGCCGTTGAAGCATGCCCAAAGATCCGCAACAAGGATTTGTGCTCTCTTCATCAGCCGAATCATCTTGCCATCCTCGAAACGATGCTCATCACGAAAGCAGTCAAAATCCTGCGCCAGCAAGTTCACCAGGCGTGCCGCAGAACCGTCAGCAGCATAAATGAGCTCTGCAACAGAGCCATCGTAGTGCTGGTATATGTGGTCAGAATTACCAGTAAATGTCAGGATCGACGTTGTTTTGGCTTACCTTGAAGAGTACCTGGCCAGCTTCTCGGAGGCAGTCTAAACGTTCTTCAAGGAGGGGGATTTCCTCTTCTGTGCATGACCGGAAAACATGGTTGAGGGATTCCAGGGTACACTCTTCTTCGTTCTTCCAGTAGAAAGGATCCGTGATAGGAATGCCTTTAGTGAGGTCAAGTATTAGCTTGTTGTGCGAGTCATCGTAAAAAATGATAACCGACCTTCATCAATTGCTCTCTGGAGAGCTGCCACCAAACTCCAATAACCAGTCCATCTTTTCCCGCGATACTCAATAGCAAAGCGTTCATTATCAGGCAATTCGGACCAGAAAGAAAAGTTTAGCAAGTCCATAGTAAAAATGAAGTTGACAGTAGTTTCGTCCTTGGCCTTGGGGTGAAGTTCATGCTCTGACCAGGTGGCAGTTGAGTAGCTCTTCTGTTGCATTTGCTCGTAAATGCTCTCCGCTGCCTTTTTAGATGCACGCATGTCGACGGCAACATCAATGCAACTGTCGTAGACATATTCAGCACTCTCCAGGACGCCTGTCTCAGGCTCCTCCTGGATATCGATCTTCCCCTGAAGATGTTGGCGGAGGAGTTCCAGCAGTTCAGTGTCAACCTCGTCGTCAGACATCGCTACAGAAATAGGTTGTAACAAGTTAGGGAAAAGAAGAATGAGCCGAGCGAAGAAGGAGAAAGCGTAGGGGAGGGCGAAAAAAAAAAAGAGTGACAATGGCGGACAGTTTTCTTTGTATGATTCAGTCAGACTTTCAAGGTCGAGTCGACTAGGTATTCAGGTCCCTAGATTTTTTTTTTTTGCCCCGGGAGCGGCCCCCGCGGTCGCATAACTACTACCAACAGCCCAGTGTATCATGCGTCCCTTGCTGCCATGGCCGAAATACGGCAAAGGAAGAAATTGTTATCATGGTCAGAATAGTCAATTGCTTCTGGAAGTAACCGATTCACATGATATTCACTAAATGGATGACTTTGTAACACCCTTTCGTTGAAGTGCCCCTTAGATAGGTACCTAGCTACTACCTTAGTAACTTACTAAGGTAGGCGGGTCTGGGAGGCACTCATTGTCCTTGCATGTGCATCTGCACGTCACCATCCCACCCAACCCATCAGTTGAAAAAAACTTAGAGTGCTAACATGTCAAGCCTTCTAAGATAAAGCAAGTAAGTTTAAGTAACTAGAAACTTGAGATGAAGTAAATAAAATGACTCAGTTTGGCTAGCATTGACTGAGCAGCCTTTTGGTGAGTTTATTTCAGCATCTCATGTAAAAGGTATGAGGTTTCTGATTCTTCGAGGACCTCCAGTTGTGATGGTTAGTGGTGTGCTCATTGACAACCCTTGAGGGGCAAGAAAATCACGGACCTTGATATGGGATGTCAAAATAAACTCAGTAAAAGCTATCCTAAATTTAGGCTATATTACCTAAATGCTTTTGTCATCTATGATCGAGGTCCTGAGTTTTCTTTCCTCCCCCAGACAAAGTACCTACCTAGTTATACAGTGGAGTCCAATCATTAAGGTAAGCCTTGACCACCAAGAATTCCGAGCTTTAGAAGCTCGAAGCTCTGTGATAGGCCTGTCCGATTGGTCGCCCTGCAACGCCGCTCTCCTGCTGAGTGCTCTATCTCAGCTCTCTGACCACTAACATCCTATTCAACCTTTCCACCTTCAACTGGTCGCGACATTATTCACCAACAAGCGCACCGACTCGACCTTGATGCATCGGACCGGGCTATTCCACTCTTTCGATCCCGTTTCCGCGTGTAGAAAGCGATCACTATAACGATGAATGCGACACGCGCCGATCAGGCTCCGGCCCAAACACAGAATGCGGCTGCAGATCCAGCGGTTACTCCAGCTTCTGAGCAGCAACCACAAACACAAACACCACTACAGCAACAGCAGCAGCAAAGGAAGACTGCTTCATCCGAGAACGAATCCCGGAAACAAACGTCGGCCATGACGCGTGACCGACACAACCAGCAGTCGTTAGGCGCATCACTCAATACCTCTGTCAAGCAGGTACGTTTCTTATGCATGGAACTAAATATCACCTCTTAGCCTTGATCTCGCACCAGGATCCGACGCGATCTGACGCCCCAGGAGCGATGCATCTAGAATCGGACTGTGTGCGATGCGACATGGCGATCTTGCTCAACCACCTATTGTCATTGTGGGTATGCTAACTCGGATCGCGCAGGCTCGTGTGCTCATGGTTGGTGCTGGTGGAATTGGATGCGAGTTGCTCAAGAACCTGGTCCTCACAGGCTTTGGCGAAATACATATTGTAGACCTCGATACCATCGACCTTTCGAATCTGAACCGACAGTTTCTTTTCCGACACGAACACATAAAAAAATCCAAGGCTCTAGTGCGTCATTCTGCCCAAAATGGAGTTTGGTTAGATACTAATCAACGCGCAGGTGGCCAAGGAGGCAGCAGAACGGTTTAATCCCAATGTCAAAATTGTCGCACACCATGGCAATATAAAGGACGACGAATTCACCGTGGCCTGGTTCCAGCAATTCCGCATTGCTTTCAATGCTCTGGATAACCTCGAAGCGCGCAGGCACGTCAATAAAATGTGCCTGGCAGCTGATGTACCCCTGATCGAGAGTGGCACCACCGGATTCAATGGCCAGGTGCAGGTTATCAAAAAAGGCGTTACTGCATGCTACGACTGTACTCCCAAGGAAGCACCCAAGTCTTTCCCTGTGTGTACAATTCGAAGCACCCCGAGCCAACCCATCCACTGCATTGTATGGGGTAAAAGTTATTTGCTTAAGTATGCATGTAGTTATCGACTTGTGGAAGTTTGCTTACAAAGGTTTTAGCGAGATATTTGGCACCAGTGAAGATCAGGCCGCATTTGACCACTCAACTGATGCCGACAATGGTAAGTGAGATGCCGTGTTAAGGGGCAGCACATGCTGACAAGAGCCAGCCAAAGAGATTGAAGAGTTGAAGAAAGAATCTGAAGCCCTCAAGATGATTCGGGATGCTACTGGCACATCCAAGTTCCCTCAGATGCTATTTGACAAGGTGTTCAACGCCGACATTGAGCGACTACGTTCCGTGGAGGGGATGTGGACATCCCGGCGAGCTCCTAAGTCTCTTCAATATCAGACCATTCTCGCGCAGGCTGGTGAGGCTATCGCCAACAAGGACAAGATTCTGAGTGACGATCAGCGGGTTTGGTCCCTGGAAGAGAGTCTAGCGGTCTTCAATGACAGTCTTGATCGGCTAAGCAACCGAATTCTTGAACTCAAGAAGAACAAAAAACCTGAAGACCCCGACCCCACGATCACATTTGACAAGGATGATATTGATACCCTTGACTTTGTGACAGCAAGTGCCAACATTCGCTCAACAATTTTTGGAATTGACAAGAAGTCTCGGTTCGATACCAAACAGATGGCAGGCAACATCATTCCAGCGATTGCCACAACTAACGCAATCGTCGCTGGTCTATGTGTTCTTCAGTCTTTCAAAGTTTTGAAGGGCGAGTATACACAGTCCAAGGAGGTCTTCCTGACCCCCTTTGCCCCAGCTCGACTTCTGGCTCCTGATAGGTCCAGAGAGCCAAATCCCGAATGCCCCGTTTGTAGTGTTTACTTCACAAGCATTGTTGCAGACCTGTCTCGGGCGACTCTCAAGGATCTCCTTGATGAAATCGTCTTGTCAAAACTGGGGTTTGAAGGCAAGGAGTTTGTCGTGAACAATGACATAGGAACCTTGGTTGAATATTTTGAGGACGGCGACGACGAGAATCTACCCAAAAAGCTGACTGATCTCGGTAAGGCCTCATTGAAAGGACCAATGAATTGCTCGTGGAGGACTGACAGAACCATCAGGTATCAAGAAGGACTCGTTCTTGACTGTTATCGACCAGGACGACGAGGACACACTCGTCAATGTGGTTATCAATGTCCAAGAAGGGTTTGTCTTTGTCTCTGCTGTTACTGAACTAGGCTTACAATTTATAGTACATTGAAAGAAGATGAGAAACCGGTCAAGGCTACATTCCCGGATGTCCCTGAGATTCCACGCCGACCAAAGAAGCCCCAGCCGGTCTCCGCGAATGGCAATGGGGAACTCAACAATGAGCAGGCCGTTAGTGCCGAGCCGAAGGGTATCAAGAGACCGCATGGAGAGGACGCTGAACCACCTCTCAAGAAACTCAAGATCACCAAATCCGGAACCGATATTGTAGACGTGGACGAAGTCCAAAGTCATGCCGCCGGCGGCGCTATTGTCATTGACGATTGAAGGGTAACTCAAGGGGTTGAAAGGACGATGCGTATATCTTGGGAGCCATGGCTTTACTAGTTGGCACTTAAGCCACCATCCAGGTTCAGCACGCAGTTGTTGGCGAAACGGTTGGTTATCAAAAACATGGCAGCGTCGGCTACCTCATCGGGCGTGCCCAAACGACCCAAGGGACACTGCTTGAGGTAAGCTTCACGAGCAGTCTCAGTAAGTTCTAAAACAGGGTATTGTACATTAACACTCGTTTTCTTCTTCGCAAGGGTGATTGGCGCCAGGGATTGAAGGCGCAGGAAGGGGGAGACTCACCATTCCACATTGGACTCTGTATCCAACCCGGTAGCAATGTGTTGACGCGGATAGAGCGACTTTTATACTCAAGGGCCAGGGCGCGGGTGAAAGCTGCGACGATATGGAGTCAGCAGGTTTTTGACATGTATAATAATGTGGATTCATTCGCATAAGATTAGGGATATATCATGAACGTACCAACGACACCAGCTTTTGAAGCGGCGTATACTGCAGCACCAGCACCCATTTTGGTAGCCATAAGACTTGAAACATTGATGATGCATCCTATATGAGCACATGTGAGAAGATGTTATCGAACATAATTAACTGCTTGGTAGGACGCACCATGAGGGTTTAATTTGGCATATTTAGAGGCGAGGATAGTCGCCCGGAGGTTGAGGTTAAGGATCCGTTGAATTTCCTCTTCTCCGGTCCTTTTGAGCGCCGACGCTTGACTGGTGCCAGCACAGTTGACGAGGACATCGACGGGGCCTAGAGCGGGAAATAGACCCTTGAAAATGTCTACCCTTTGAACGTCCAGACGTTTGAATTGGTGCTCTGTTGGGCGCCTACTGCCATCGAGGTTCTCTATGTACGGAAGAGGCTCAAAGGGTTTGAGTCTGGGCTCAAGGACTAGGCGATCATCAACGGCATTGCGGCTCATGATGGTTACAACAGACCCGCGGTCTGCAAGTGCGCTCGCGATACGGAAGCCCAGCGTACCGGTACCTCCGACCACAATGGCATGTTTACCGCGGAGAGAGAAGGACATGGGCGGTAGTGGAGGCGGGATGTGTGAGGTGGTTTACAGATAGTGAGTTTGATGTGGTGATGAAATTTGAAGTTGAGTCTGTAAACATTGACTTGGATGGAGACGAAGGCCCGACTTTTTACGATAAAACTGTGTACATTGAATTCCACGACATACTGCGAAATGGGCTTATTTTATGATTTATTTTAATTTTCTTGCTTCAGGTTGCCTTTGATCGTTGCGAGACGAATATTTTCAGCTTTTCAATCGTACGTAGCTTAATTACCTACCTATTTACCTCCAACCTTACCTCAGGACGGAGTAGCCAATCTCCCATACAGCACCGATGCCATTGCCACACGGTACAACTGTTTGGCTTTTTCTTTTAAAGCCCCAACACCATCGAAACACCCCTGACCAAGCAATCGGTTCCTGGCTGGCTGTATGTCATGGCCGATATTCGTCTCCTAGTAGCAATTGCTTTTTCGCACATACCTTACTCCAGACGATTCCCCTGTTAGTTACTATGAATATGCCCATATTGGCCTCTGTAAATACTTACAAGCTCAGAACCCCCTGCTTTTAAACGAGTGGCTGGCTTCCATTGTTCAGTGCATCTCGTCAGCTTCCATGATGGGTTTCGCTTCTGGGGTATCAACAGGGGACTGAAGAGGAGAACCGCAAAGTTTTAAGTTAGCGAGGTAACCGATCCGTTGATCAAACCCTGATTTCGTGTGGCCTTGTCTCGCTGCGAGTGCCAAGGGTTAAAGCCAAACACAGCGGACGTCGATGAACAGTCAAACAGGATGATGGCGGACGAATATCTACCTAATCTGACCCTTTTCTCCCACGACAAGGATCAATTGACCATTGTTGCTCCTTACTGGATACATGTACAAATAGCTGACCTACTTGCCGTTTACACTTGAACCTTGACTGATGGTCTGGTTCAATTCATGTAACATAAGGTAGGTGGTGCAAAACTCCACCTGATCAAACTCCCGCCGCTTCCAGCCATCCATCGTTGGTTAACTATTCCCACTAAACTCCTCCATTGCAACTACATTCTCAGCAGGGCTTCTGTCCATTGAAGCCCAAGGCCGCACTCAGGCTCACGACATTCCTTATCGTCTTCTTTGATCTCCATGTTCCGTCGTTGTATCGGATCTTGTACTCGTCGCAATTGACGTATCTCTTACCTTTACTCCCGCCGCAAAACCATGAGCGACCCTCAACGCGATGCCCCGCCGTCGAGCGCCCACATTCCCGCTGCTACCACGACCACCACGGTTCTGCCTACGACCAACGGCTCTGCCAAAGGCGATGAGGTTCCCGATGCCGGACTGAGGAGTCTCGATCACTGTACGCCTCAACAACGGCCTGTCTCGCGCCTCGCGCTTTGCTGATTGCTCTTCTCGCAGACAAGCGTGCCCTGCCAAAATGGCGGTACAATCTGCGCCAACAGATGCTGCCTCTGATCCGCTGGGAGACACCCTACCTTGCGTGGATGCAAGAGAAGTTGCGGACTCCAGCTCTTGATAGCTACTTCGCCATCACTGCCAACCTCGGAACCCATACCTTCTTCATGATCGGATTACCCATCTGCTTCTGGTGTGGTTATGCAGCATTTGGCAAGGGGTAGGTCACACCATGTTCAACGTCTACATGCGCTGCGCTGCGGTTGCAGTCACAAATCTCCAGATTCTCGAGATTACAGGATTTAACAGGTACTGACATGCTTCATTGTGTAGACTTGTGCATATTCTTGCGCTCGGTGTCTTCTGGACAGGCTTTATCAAGGACTTCTACTCTCTCCCGCGACCACTTTCGCCCCCTTTGCACCGAATCACAATGTCTGGTTCTGCAGCTCTCGAATACGGTTTCCCCTCGACCCATAGCGCCAATGCCGTATCTGTCGCTGTCTATGCGCTTCTGATACTACGCAGTCCCGATAACACGCTAGCTCCAACCACCAAATTCGCACTCGAATGCCTCTCATACTTCTACGCTGCTTCGATCATATTTGGGCGCTTATACTGTGGCATGCATGGCTTCCTCGACGTCATTGTAGGGTCTATCATGGGTGCCGCTATTTCTCTGCTCGAATTCTACTACGGACCTCCCCTGGATGAATATATGCACTCTAGCTCTTGGGCTGCGCCTCTCGTAGCTGCCTTGATTATTCTTGTACTCGTGCGCATTCATCCTGAGCCGGCAGACGACTGCCCGTGTTACGATGACAGTGTTGCCTTTGCTGGTGTTGTCATTGGTCTCGAATTCGGTACTTGGACATATGGCAAGATTGCGCTAGATCCCTGGGAGACTCATGCGCATGGTGGAGGATCCGTGGATATTACGCACTTGGGACTGGCTGCCAACGTGGCTAGGATCGTTTTCGGCGTTCTTGTCGTCTTTGCGTGGCGCGAGACGATGAAGCCTTTACTGCTTAAGCTCTTGCCTCATCTATTCCGAATATTTGAACAGGTTGGCGTGAACATGCCTCGACGATTTTTCACTCCTGCTAGTAAGTACAAGACTGTACCAACAGGCTCTCGTATCGACACTCTTTTCCCTTCGCCGTCCGACTTCCCACGTATGGTCGAGAGTATCCGAAACCCTACCACCCGAGGTCGTTCTGTGTCGATTGGTCCTCAGAGTGCCGCAGATGCATACGAGACCTTGGCGTATAGAGAGCGCAAGCGGCGCGAGAGTGTCAGCAGTAACCATAGCTTGAAGAGCAAGTCAAGCAACCTGGAGCTCCAGACCACGCATGAAGACTATTCTGGCAAGGGAGCTCAGGCGTCTGGTGCACAGGCAAACCGAATCGTTGAATTCGAGCAGATGATGGGAACCGGCGAGGTTGTGACAACACCAGCCGCCGATGGTGATCGGGTTGAGATCTTTGTTACGGGCGCCGAGGACGGATTGGGAGAGCGGGAGATGTTCTCGCAATTAATCAAACCCCGTGTGCGATATGACGTCGAGGTCGTGACTAAACTCGTGGTATACACTGGTAAGTTGCTGAAGATCTTTTCCTGACTAGAGAAATGGGTTGCTGACTGATGTGATAGGCATTGCTTGGTTTGCAGTGGCTATTATCCCCATAATGTTTGAGATTGTAGGCTTGGGGACGAATCAGTTACGTGAACGATGAGTGATGAGATGAAATGAGACAAGAGAGGCCACCGCCGTGTATTATTTTCTAGTGGCCTCTAGGATACAGTTATACATTCTTCTTTTTAATGAACATATAGGGTGATGAATGATGGGCGCTGGAATGGTTTATTGGTTATGTCACCTTTGGGTTTCTGTGGGTGATATATCTCTAGACAACTTTAGAGTTGCAATTGAAACTTAGTTGTATTCACGATAGTATATCCGAATCAGTGCTATAACGATCTTCTGTTTGGAAATAAACATCAGTCACAGAGATGTGCCGGTATCAAGGAATCGCGATGCTTCAGTTAAAGGGTGTAAGTGGAAGTGTGAAGTACCTACCTAGACGATTTCGCCTTTGTGATTGGCCGTTACTATGTGCAAGGGTCTTAATTGACTGACACGCTTAGACGCGCTTAGATGTAACTTGGCGCGTATTCCTCACTGACCTCAACATTCAAACATCCACAGCGCAACGACTCAAGAATTGCAGAACGAGCAATCCCGGAAAACAACACATCACTAAAAGACCGAAAACAACAATAAAGCAAGCGCAAATATGTCCGATATTGGGGAAGAGATGGACGTTGATGTCCCTGTTGTCAGCAAAGATGTGATATTTTCCTCTGAAGCCAAGCAAGGCAAGCGAAGTGCTGCGAATCTGCCAGTTGAGGCTGAGGATAGTCTCCCTTGGTAGGTGCTTGTAAGAAACGTCTTCAAGGATCAGTATTAACAGAGTCCAGGGTTGAAAAGTACCGCCCAAACACCCTTGACGACGTCTCGGGCCATCAAGATATCCTCGCTACCATCAACAAATTCATCGACCAGAATCGTCTCCCTCATCTACTCCTCTACGGCCCTCCAGGTACTGGAAAGACGTCCACAATTCTTGCCCTTGCTCGTCGTATCTACGGAGCTGCGAATATGCGCCAAATGGTTCTCGAGCTCAATGCCTCAGATGACCGTGGTATCGATGTAGTGCGAGAGCAGATCAAGACATTTGCTAGTACTAAACAGATCTTCTCCATGGGTGGTGCATCTGCCCGCTCAGGCAACTCGATGGCTGGATTTAAGCTCATTGTTCTGGATGAGGCTGATGCTATGACGAGCACAGCCCAGATGGCTCTACGACGAATAATGGAGAAGTACACCACCAACACACGGTTCTGCATCATTGCAAACTATTCCCACAAGCTTAGCCCAGCGCTTCTGAGTCGATGTACACGGTTCCGTTTCAGTCCGCTAAAAGAGGGCGATATTAGGGTGCTAGTTGACAAGGTAGTGGAAGAGGAGCATGTCAGGATTGGCGGAGAGGCGGTTGATGCGTTGGTGAAGCTGAGCAAGGGTGATATGCGAAGAGCACTGAACGTTCTACAGGCCTGTCACGCATCCAGTGAGTCTACATGCATCTATCTTTCCCAAAACGAGCACTAACAGAGGCCCAGGTACACCATTGCGAGCAAAGGATGCACCCAAAGTGCCTGACAGCGAAATTGAACGCGAAAATATCACAACGGAGACTATTTATAACTGCATTGCGGCACCCCCGCCTGATGCCATCAAAGAGATTGTGGCGACGCTGCTTAAGACATCGGATGTCACAAGTTGTTTAAATACTATCAACGCTCTCAAGATGTCGCGAGGTCTTGCGCTGGCGGATATTATTACAGCGCTTTCCGAGGAGTTGGTGAAGCTAGAGGTTGGTCCTGAGGTGATGATCACCTGGCTGGATGGTCTCGCCAACATCGAGCATAGAGTCGCCGGTGGAGGCAGTGAGTTGATCCAGACTGGTGCAGTCGTTGGAGTTGTCCGAAATGGAGTTGAGTTGATGGGCCGATAATCTCAGAGTCTCTACGGGATATCGAGCGTCGCGTCTGCACAAGGACGTAATGAGGTGATTGACATTAAAGGCTGAATATTCGTATGATGTTACACGACGATCAACTGTGCTATAAGCATCAAAAGCCTCCTATAGAACATAGATGAAACCAATTAAGCATCATGACAATGATTTTAAACCCAGGCGCCGCGACTTTGTAAGACTGTTAATAATGTATCTGTCAGCCACTATCCATGTCTAGTGGCGCAAGCTCATGCAACCTTCGTGTAAGCTCAGAGCTGTCGCCGGATAAATTTACTACACCTCAATGGTAGCTTGTCAACATTAAAACGGTGCGCTGCGACTTCAACTCCTCAGGGCATTGCACTTGAGAGCTAGCTGTCGCATTTCGCCGAGAAGTCGCTGTACGTTTGAAAGGCCAGCAAGTCCTCCTTACAAATACTGTAACAATGACCTCAATCGCTTCCTCTGATGCTGGAAATTTAACTGTCGAGCCGCTGTCAGAGCGCAACGTCTCTCGGATCCCGCTTATTCTGCCTCATGAGCGCGTCTTTCCAATTCAGATCGGCAGCGAATTGTTTAAGCTCTCGGGGGCATCGCTATCGTCTGACGGTGAGTCTTGACTTTACAAATGTCTTTGCGACAACTGACTTGTCGCATTGCGCCGGCACAATTGTCTACCTATCTCATAGTTCTCGACTAACGCTTCGCAGCACCTTCGTACTTCTCTCAATACTTTGTTTGCCAGTTAGAATCGGCAAAAGAACGAAACGACGAGTCGAACTCGGCTATCCGAACGCTCTACATTGATCGCGATCCAGCCATCTTTCGCGATATCTCTCTTCATCTTCAGGGCTACCATGTTCAGCCTCGCGACGGCGAGCACTTTGTGCGTCTGTTTTCAGATGCACAATTCTATAGCTGTTGGTCGCTTGCATCTTGCAATCTAAAATCCTGAACTGACATTTTGGGTAAACAGTGCCCAAGCTAATCTCTCAGCTCTATGAGGAGAGTATCTTTATCTCCATCGGCCATCGCGAGTTTCAGATTCCTCGTGAGATCTTCAACGACCCAGGGAATTCTCCGAACTACTTCTCCCTCGGCTTCGCAGCTTTCTTCTCACGCCCGGATGACCTCTTCCCTGGCCTTGACCGCGAAGGCCTAATCCGTCCACCCTCGATCCTCCCTCCTTCGGTTCCGAAGCGCAGCGCTGATACATTTGCTGAGCTCCTACACTTTCTCCGAGGATATCCTATTCGAATACGTGATGAGGCACACCGCCAGGATCTCCTCAGCGATGCGCGCTACTTTCATTTCAAGGGCCTCGAGCAGCGCCTTATCCCGCATTCGCTAAGTTACAATCAAGCCACGAGACGCGATGAGATTGTCCTTCGTCTTGAGAACATACAGAAAAGTGGTGTTAGTGTCTTTATTAGCAATACAGACCCGTTGACCGGCTTTGTGCAATACGCTCGACCTTATGTGGACGAGAAGCCTGCTGAGCTGGTCCTTGAAATTGGCGGCGAAACAACAAAGCTTCATTTCTCAGGAAGTAATGCTAGGGCAGAGTTCTTCAGGGACACCAAAGCACGAGTTGCAAAGTTGTTTGAGCTTGTCTCGTCAAAGCTAAACTTTCACCAAGCGATCAAATCTGAACATCTCACCAACCACGGACAGTTGACAACCCTCGGAAATGCATTATTAAAGGAAGATCTTGTTCGTGTAGTACTGGAGCCCGAATCCGCTATTATTCTGGACGGGAAGGACTATCTCGAGGATTTCATCAATGCCGCGGCGTCCGAATCTTCCGCAAACGAATACCCCAGGAAGCGAAAGCGAGCAGATGGTGACTCGGGCGATGAGGAGTGGGTTGTCACGACAGGGCAATGGAGGTTACGCATTCAAACCGCACCAAACGGCAGGGGTGTTGAATGTATTCTTGTTGCAGCGAAGCTTGATGCAATGCGCTCGCAGTTGTCACGCAACATGTCAAGGAGCTTTCTGGGAAGCTAATGCAGTACATTTCACGTGGTCTTTGCAGTCGTGGTAGCGAGAACAGAAAATGCTTTTATGTTACGAGCCAGATCTGTGACTGGCATCTTGGAGACAATAACGAGCTTCTTTGAGAGGTCTAATAGTATGAAATACCACACGAAAATATGAAAACGGGGGTATTTGACACAGTTATAGAGTTATTGCAAATACGGAACAAGGAATTCGTACACAATCCAGCCAACGCAAGTTAATTATAACCAAAACCAACAAAAGAGTTTGTCTGACACATGTCATGAGAATCCACAAGACCATCTCTAAAACAGTCATAGAAACAAGATGGAAAGTCGCTGAATGATGCTGCATGTCCTTGAGTCCCAAGTGATTTGACAGCAACAAATTATAGAGAAAACACAATAACGCCCCTTCGCCCTGCAGGAAAAAAGAAAAAGTGATGGGCTAAAGGGTGAGCGGAAATATAGGGGCCCATCAGGAGAGGTGAAAATCGATCACTTTTTATGGATGGTCGGGTCGGGTCGGGTCGGAAAAGAGAAAGTTTCAGGAGGGGGAAATAGGGGTAAATGTGAAGAGTAGTAGGGCGTTCGTCAGGTCGTGTCATGGCTCATACAATTTGGTCGTTCAACATTTATCGCCCTTTGCCAGCAACCTTGCCTGTGGGAGCACTCATATCTCGTCGTTCAACGCCCTCGACCATTCGACGGCTAGGTGTCATTGTGCCCTGTGCCATTGAACGGGCACGGCCACGACGTTCACGGATCTTGGCCAGAGCCTGCTCGCGTGTCATGGTAGGGGTGAGAGCAGGATTTGACATATCAAAGGTGGTGCCTGTGCTGTTGTGGGATGGTGTGCGGAGACGTTCGTTGAAGGAGGCACTATTCCGGGCCTTGTCGTCGTGGACTGGCACGGTTGTCGTAGTAGTGACGGTGTAGAAGGCATTTGTGGTGTGAGGTCGAGTGTCAGGAGAGACAAGTATATCCTCGGCCACGTCTGGCATGGTTGGTACTGAAGGAACAGGTGCCGAGTGACTGTGAGGGGCGTTGAGAAGTGAGGCGAGTGATGTTCTCTCTTGAGCAAGCATGGCGAAGGCTGGAGGCTCGACTGAAGGGGTTCGTGCGTATCTCCGGTAGTTATCGTACTCGCCAGAGTAACGTGGCTCTATCTCAGTGCCATCACCAATCGTAGTTTCAGCTTCAATCTGCTCTTCAACTACAACCTCGTCAACATCCTGATATTCACTCCCAGCATGACTTTCTCGCTGACCCTTATCAGCTGCCTCGGTCTCTTCGATTTTGCGTTGTGCCTCAATGATTTCGGCTTCTTGCTCCGAAACCGTCCTGAAAATACCTTCTTTGGGGCAGAATATGGTGCTTCGGCGGGGCTCTTTCCTGGATTTAATGATACGTTGAGGGGGCTCTTGGAGGTGATGTTCATGGACTGGCTCGGGCTGAACATCAGGCTCTGCTCCTCCTTCGGGCTCGGTCTGGGCAAGCGGTTCCTCGATACGAGGAGGAGTAATAGCACGCTTCTCGCCCTCTACTGCCTCACTATCCAGTTTCAGGACCTTGTCGTTTGGTCCCTCTAGTCCAAAAGAGCTCCGGCGTTTCTGGCGAGGGATCTCGACACTGGCACGACGGGCTGACTTAGAGCAAGCACAGCAACGGAGATGGCATTCGGCCTGTAAGAATTCAATCATCTCATGGGCACGGTCTGCTCTTTGGCGCTCCCACTGCAACTGAGTGGACAATTCCTCAATCTCGACCTCACTGGCTTCCGAGGAGATGATGTCCATTGTCGATAGAGAAACTCGAGGATCTTTTGACGCTCGCCTCTTGTCCTTGTTAGGAGAACCAAACTCATCGTCAGCATCCTGTGGTGGTAGAGGAATACGACCCTCGGCAGCGATTCGAGCAACTTCCTCGTTCTTGGCCGCAGTCTTGTAGGCGTCACGTTCCTGTTCGACGAGCTTGATGCGCTCCAGTGCTTGATCTAGTTGTTCTTGGACACCAACAATCTGATAGCGCGCTTCGAATGCTTCTTGCTCTCGGACCTTGCTCCTAGCCTTTTCTCGTTTGAGGTTTTCGTCGATCATCTTGGCGTTTGTGCGTGCTGACTTGAGTTCTTCTTGGAGCTTGACGATTGATGATTGTGTTTTGAATGTCTCTTTTCGTGCGCGGCGAATCTCCTTTTCCCATAGAGCTTGTGTGTGTGCATGGGTCTCCTTTGCTCGGCCATAGTTCTCCTATGACATGGTCAACATGCAATGTTTACATTGGCTTCCGAGAATACCTACCATTAATGACTCCAGGCGTTCTCCGACTTTGCGCTCACGGTCTTTACCCTCATCGATGGCCTTTCGTAGATTTTTGTTCTCCTCTCTATATTTGCGCACCTCAGTCTCGGCCTCTTCGCGACCAAGCATAGCGCGCTTCAAAGCAGCATCTGCTGTTTTGCGTTCCAACTGTTTTGATTGCATAGTAACACTAAGGTTGTTGAACTGGCTGATCTTATCATGAACGGAGGTATCTCTTGAGCCACCACGAAGGTGAGAGAATACGGACTCGCGCTCTCTTTGTTGGTTGACACGCTCAGCAGTGACGGCCTGAAGAGGACCGCCCGGTGAGCCGGGTGGACTATTTGTCTCTTCCATTGTTGAGATGATTTCGATGCAGACGTGGAGGTAGATATGGGGTATCAAACTGAACTGATTGAGTTTTATCGCAAGTGGCTGCCGTTATGCAGGGTCGACAATCAAGTTGAAAGTTATTAGTGTGTTGTGGTTGAGTAAAAGTGGTGCTGGTGTAGCATCGATTGTTTACCATCCCACTTTGGTGTGTACCAATTGGTGAGTAACTTGTTGCTGTGGTGATGGAGTCGACGTCAGGTGACCTCATGTTAAGCAATCTGGCCGTTTATTTATAACTTACCCCTAGTGGTGTGTTTGTAGCATTTTGAGCTCAACGCTCCAATCAGCTGCTTTTAACTGTGCTGACCCCGCGAAGTGGAGTGACTTGGCTGATAAGGCGTGCCAGAATCACGATAAAGCTGTCCAACGTCGCAAGTTAACTCCATTGATCCATGGGAAAGGGAAAAAGTTGAAGCTTCCGACTCCGAGCAGAGGCCAGGTCAAGGTAGCAGGACACGCCACTTTATATTAAGATCGCCCCTATTGTAACATTCGTTTCTATAAATCTGTTTCTGTCTCCTTTCAATTCTTTTACCTTCATCTTTTCTAAAACTTGTTCAAGATCACATTTGTTATTTGTCAGGATGGCCGATGAATCAACTCTGCGTCAGCGCAAGCCTCAGCCCAAGAACGAGACCGAAACTGAAGTCTCTCAGCCTTCGACTCCGACAAAAAAGGGCAAAAAGAGGTCCTCGGCTAAGGTCGACGAAGAAGACCCATGGGATGGCTACTCACCTTACCTCGATGTCGTTCGTGTCATCAGCTTCATTATCGTGGCCTCAATGGGTCTAAGCTATGTTATTAGCGGAGGAGAGAGTTTCTGGTGGGGACACAAGAACAAGCCTGACTGGATGACCCAGAGATTCTACAAGGACTTGATTCTTGGACCTGTACGTTGAATCTATAATGATTGTCGGACTATTCCTAACTATCGTTCTCCGTTAGCCACCTCCTGTATATATGACTTTAGAGGAACTCTCCCTCCACGACGGTACCGACCCCGATAGACCTCTTCTTCTTGCCATCAATGGTACGATTTATGATGTTTCTAACGGCCGCCGCATGTACGGCCCAGGGGGCTCCTACAGCTACTTCGCTGCCACCGATGCTGCTCGCGGCTTCGTGACCGGCTGCTTTGCTGAGGACCAGACCGCCGACCTCCGGGGCTATGAGGAGACTTTCCTGCCGCTCGACGATCCTGAAGTTGACTCTCACTGGACACCCGAGGCCCTGGCTGAGCTTAAGATCAAGGAGAGAGAAGAGGCTAAAAAGAGGGCCGACGCAGCGCTCCAGCATTGGGTCGACTTCTTTGCCAACAGCAAGAAGTACACCAAGGTGGGATATGTGTATCGGGAACCCGACTGGCTAGAGAAAGAGAAGCCTAAGAAGCTTTGTGACCAGGCCCAGAGAAGCAGAAAGACCAGAAAGATTCCCAAGAAGGATTAATCCATACTTACACTGGCGATGTTGTATTTTTATGTTATTTTTATTATCATATATCTATCCTTTTTCAACCCCAACTGGGCTAAAGCTCAAAAGACATTATATACATGACCGTGAAACGTTAGAAACTTCAAATTAAGGGATAATGAGCATGATCTCTCTAATGGTTTTGGGTATTCTTGGTTGTTATCTAAATGTTCAACCTTGATACACTTTCCCGTTGAACCTGGCCGTAAACACCGTTGATGACTGTGCCTATCCCGAGGCTGCCCAACCGTTCCAGCAATTGGTACAAATATCCCCATTAATTGTTCCCAGCATTATGTCTATCCATTCAAAATTTCGTCATGCTCTCAGCTTATAGTACATACATAGCAGCGGCACCAACTGCGAGCAGCATCGAAATAGGGGCCTTGAGCTCAGCAGCAGCAGCAGTGACCACAGGATCGCCCGAAGAACCAGATGTGGGAGTGCCAGTAGCTCCAGGGGCAGAGACGCCAGTTGGCGTGCCAGAACCATCCTCAGAGCCGCCATCGGAGCTGCCGTCATCGGAGCTATCGTCACCGGAGGAGCTGCCGCCATCAGAGCTGTCGTCGCCGGAGGAGCTGCCGTCGTCTGAGCTACCGCCTCCAGAGCCGCCTGTGTTGGTACCATTGCCACCATTTCCGCCTTGTGGTGAGCCACCACCTTGAACAGGAACGACTTCGGAGACTGTAGCTGAACTACAAAGGCTCTTATAGTTGTTGAGCGATCTTGTAGCATTGGCAGATGTGCTGGATGACGATTAATAATGAACCCTGACAGAAGGTCGTAGCAGACTCACTTTTCGTTGATGACCATCGACATTCCACCCTGGCAGTGTTTTGCCTTGCTGCAGAATAGCCACATAGGTTTCTTGTCTTTGACCATGATGGTGTAGGTGGGAATCATGCCCTTGGACATGCTAGCCTCCACAGGCTGGTAGCCAGAGTATATTCCAGTGACGTTCGACATAACGTTGCCAATGGGCACACAAGGGTCGTCGAAGGTAGACTGTGTCACTGTGTGGTTGCCAGCCCAGAATTGAAACTGGACCATGGTTCCTGGCTCTGCTGTGATCTTTTCAGGCCAGAACTTGATACCAGTGGCATTTGTTGCTGAGTTTCTGCCAACCGAGACGACTTGGACATCGACAGCTAAGAAGACTGTTAGTTGATTCTTCTTTGTAGCTCCAGGAGCACATACCTTCAGCAACAGCCGCAAGGGCTACAATAGCAATTTGAGAGAAATACATAATGATTAGAGATTTGGGATTGTGAATATTTGGTAGAGGCAAAGGAAAGGCACTCTGGGAGAGATGTTCAGAGATGGGAGCAAAGAAAAGAAGCGACTTGCGCTCTCAAGGACTAGCCTCGTCTAAGAAAGTAACAAGAAGAATTAATGAAAGATTGAAAGAACAAAGGAAACGCGTCCAATGGGAACAGGACCAGACTGTTGATTATGGAACGAGATGAGAGATGAGGAGAAACAAAACAAAAGAGACGAGACGGATTGGTATATATACATCGACCTAAGGGCTTGGCCTATGATGGCCTTGACCCTGATTACGAGTTTCGAAGCACATCTGAAGCACGCCTCTCAACGGCGCCGAAAGATGGATCTTGGGGCTTCCGTCTCGGCTCCTCGGTAGACTTACAGGACGGGCGTAGTATGAGACACTATTAACAAGGCTTCGCTGGAAGAGTTGAGGAATGAAACAAATAGTGCTGGGTAAGTCTTGGCTAGCTTTGGTATTGCTTGGGAACTACCCAGGCTATATGTCAGGTTCAGATATCGAGCTCAACGACATAATGTTCGGGACCGAATACAGAAGAGCGGCGGCTATCGCAATTCGGACAAAAGATTATGATCGCTTCCTCTTTTTCGGATTTCCATGGTCAGCATTGATTTGGGGGTCTTTCTGTCCGAAATGACTTAGTTCTGGTTTTGTTGGTCAAGTCAACTGAGAAATCAAACCATAGCGCTTGGTATGTCTATTATCCAGACCTATACCATAGCAGACTAACAGCTAGATATTTTCGGTGACTATAGGTCTCGGCTCCAGGCCCAACCGTGTCGGAGCAGACCGACCAGGGGTTCGTCTGCTTCGGAAGTGCCTCATCCGTAATATCTTGAGACGAATATAGTTTCGCTGCCACTATTGGTCCTTAAAGGGTTTAAGGCCACATGGGTGAAAAGCCGCCGTACGGTATTTTGAAACTTGAGAGCCTTGGCTTTCTCTTGACGTAGAATAACATTATTTGAGTTTGCGCTGAGGTTGCATTAGTTTGTCGGGTTTCAGCTGTGATGTTTCGTATTGGTTGCAGGTTCCAAACGTACCTACCTAGGTATGTGTGGGGACGAGCTGTTGGAGTATTGCCATTTGGAACACCCCAGCTTTATTAACTTAGTATGCTTAAATAATCTACTAATACGATTTTATTTACACGAGATGTTCGACGAAATTCAGCTTGCTCAATAGACGACTAAAGATCGTCCTTGGCCAGTATTAATTTCGAGGCTCACAACCGAACTTCTTAGGCGAAACACCCATCTGTACAATTGGCGAGAACAGTTACCAAACCCCAAGACTGCATTCAACAAACAGGAACGAGAAGCAATAGCACAATACCAGGCTTAGCTCGCGACTATTAAGACACCAGGGCGGCTTGGAGATCTAGGGCTGCGGATTACATGATCCTTCTTGAGCGAGGTTTCATAGTCATTGCAAATATAACCTGTCACGATTCTCTAAATATGGGCATTGTAACATCCAGTTGACTCTGCGAATACGTCTTGATTCTTCCCTCATATTAACAAAAGGCTTACAACTCAAATCCGTGATATGGCGACTTGCCAAACTGCCCCAAGTCAAGGATTCCGTTTCTCAGTACATAGCTGGTGAAAGCTCCCGCACTTGTGGCAAAAGATCCGGGGGGGCGATGGCGAACACCAATATGAACAATCGGTGCTGACACAGTTGGAAGACACCAGGCGCAGTGCGAGCGATCATTGCATCTATCGGATGGTGGTGCTCCGTCCTCGCTTCCTTGAGCTTGAGATGATTACTAGGCGTAGTGAGAGACATCGCGTTGCGATAATGAGCTTTCGAAAATCAAAGTATCGACTGCTGTTGTCAATATTTATGAAAAGTCGGTCGAATGCTTTTCAGATAAACGTAACAGTATTATCGTCAAAGTGCAACATAGGGAGTCGCTGGCCCGCAGAGCCACCATACTCTACTCTGTGTATGAAAGCGTCAGTCGTGCGCGGTCGTCAGGGCTTCTCTCCAGATGCATACCCATTGAACACTTCGACTTTTGTTCACCCCGAGGGTGGAAGAGACACCAATTGATAGACACCAATTGATACCACTCAAAGATCAAGCAACAGCTGTGGCGATACCTTCTCCAGGTCCTCAACTTCTAGAAATCCGCCATCCTTCTCCACAGCCGCTCTCGCAATAGCCTCTCTCACAAATACATCAAAGTATTTGCCTGCCGCGGCGTTTGCATCTCTTGATATCCGCGTCGCATCTTTAGCAAAGAATTCGTGCAGCAGCCGTGTGAGCAGCTCCGGCGGGATCGACTTGTCGGGTTCCTCTTCTTCTACAGCTTGTGCTTCACGCGTTGAGTTCCCGTGTCGGTCGTTATCGTCATCTGAGAGCTCAAATGGATTGCTAGATTGTGGTTCGGATTCAGGTTCTGCTGCCTTGGCGCCTTTCTTCGTTGTGGCTATTGGTCGGCCACGGCCTGTCCCTGATGGTTGCTTTGGAGGCATGTCAAAAGTTCAAGTAGACACTAAGGGCCCAACGTCATAAAGTTGTTGCACCGCGGAAGAATTACTTTGACAACCGTGTTGAATCTACATGATAGATACTGATAGCTTAGTAAGCACCCAACGTCAAGTCACAAACATCAAAACAACAAACCCCCTCGGTACCACCAAGGCAGATGATGACGAAAAGAAAAGAGAAACTAACATGGAAATGACATCACAAGCATCAGTAGACAATGTATGGACAGTAAAGGGAAATTGCATTTGTGTATAAATTACAGCGGCCTAGAACGGAAGGCAAAGCAAGATTAGAAAAAGACGCCGTGCCTATGCCCCTCTAACCCGTAAAGAGCTGCTGTTTCAGAGGACCACGTCCGGTATCTGTGACAACTTCCCTCAACCCTGCACTTCGATCTCGCCTTTTAGTTTCAACCAGCGGACACCATGTCAAACCCGCAGATTAAGATCCCCCGGATTCCTTGTTCCCCCCACGCACATGTCTATACAGGGTATGTTATACAAAGCGCTTATTTGAAGGCCTTGCCGAAGAGGAGGACCTGGAGCTGATCGTAGATGGAGAGGACACCAGCACCGGCAACACCACGGAGAATGTTGGCACCAGCACCCTTGAAGAGAGACTTGACACCCTCCTTGGCGACGATCTGGCGGGCAGCATCCATGGTGTTCTTGTACTTGACGGCCTCACCAGAGGTCATCATCATGCGTCGTCGAATGGTGTCAAGAGGGTAAGAGGCGATACCGGCACCAGTGGTGACGATCCAGCCGAGAGCGAAAGAGGCAAGGAAGTTGTTGGACAGGTTACCGACAAGGACGACGGGCTTGATAGAGTCGTACATTCCGAAGTAGAGACCACGGTAGACAACGATACCAGCAACGGAAGGCATGAAACCACGGTAGAGACCGGCAATACCATCAGAGGCGAGTGTCTTCTTGTAGACATCGACGAGACCGTTGAACTGACGGTCACCACCCTTCTTAGCGTTCTTGGCATCGTTGGCAAGACGGGTACGGGCGTAGTCCAGAGAGTAGACAAAGAGGAGGGAAGTGGCACCAGCGGCACCACCGGAGGCAAGGTTACCAGCCATCCAGAGGGCGTAGCCATCCTTATCCTTCTTGTAACCGAACATCTTCTTGAACTTGTCACGGAAAGCAAAGTTCAGAGCCTGGGTAGGGAAGTATCGGATGACGTTGGCGGTGTTTCCTCGCCAGAGGGCCATGACACCCTCATCGGCCATGGTGCGCTTGAAGCAGTCACCAATACCGGCGTACTTGCGGTCGAGACGACCGGTCTTGAGCATCTCATCCTGCTGAGAGTTAGTAATTAAGATTAAGCATACTTTAATTGTATTCAACTGACCTGGTTCTGAATGAGGAGCTTGACACGCTCAATGGGAGCGGCAGCGGTCTTCGAGACGGCGGCGGAAACACCACCCACTACAAGTTGTTAGTATCATGAACCAGGTTTGTTCGTCAAGCACGATAAAGGGCATGGTGTCCAATGAATCAATGCTGATAAGCGGTAGCGACGTGGGAACATACTCAAGAAGTCGGCCAAGAAGGGCTAAAAGCATGTTAGCATTTTACTCTGGGCATTTTGTGAATACTGTGGCAGTCTTGTGGGGATGCCAGCTAAGCAAAGAAAAAAATCGCATCTTCATCAACTAAAGCCCGTTGAGTATATTGCAATCGGCACATCTATATCTGATATCGATTACGTAGAAAGACTCGCGGGCGGCTAATTGACGAAGATATAATCTTTTGATGCCGCGGCATTTCACGGTCGAGGGGATCTGTGATCAAAGGAAGAAGAAACTTACCGGCATGCCCAAGACCTTCTGGGGTTGCTCAGCAGACATGGTAGCGGTTGTGAAGGTCTTTCCCTTGAACAAGAAGAAAGGATTGAGGGGAGATTGAGGATGAAAGAAGAAAGAGAGAGAATGGAGGAGTCGAGAGAAAATAAATCTGCGCCAACGGGGGGTGCGAGGTATTTGGGGGGAGGGAAAAAAAATTGCGGCGGATCTGAATGAGAAGCGCTTTTGAGCGAATCTTTCCGGGCCCGCGCTAAAGGGAGCTGGGACCCCAGCCAACCAAAACCAAGCCAACCTGTAGTCCTGTACTCTCCACGGCAACAGTGCGGGTTAGAAGCCTGAGGCCACAGCCTCGCCCAGGTCTGTGTGCCCCGGGTACCCAGAGCGCCTCTGAGCTTTTTTCAGGGGGTGGACAAGTGGCCACTCAGTGGCAATCAGTGCACTGAATTGTGGGTAATTTCTGGCACAAATCCAGGTTTGAGCTTGCTGTCCGGCTGCAAGATGAGATGCCGGTTCACCCCGATTTTTTGTCGAGCGCCGAGACCTAGACCCGTTCTAAGACATGGGAGCTCACTTCGGGGTCATTTTTTACTGTATGGGGTACTGTACGATACAGTACGTAAGTACCTAAGTTTGGTGCTTGTAGGCTGTAGACTTCTGTGATGATTAGCTGACCCCCAGAAGCATCCATGATAGTCAATTCTTTGCAGGCGGAAAAGTTTTCTGTGTGCACAGCATTTATGAGAAACAACAATAAATAAACCATTTTTGATCAATTTCTAGTCCATTGTGCTTCCATTGATTTCTCCTCCCGCACTTACCATCATGAACTGTAATTGGCTTATCTCGATCAAATGTCGTCAGTCTCTCATTACTTTGGATATTATCTCTCCCCCATCCCTCCCTCCATCATGACTTCCTTTCACCCACCTTTCCTAGCCCCAGTTCGTTCTCTAATCCACTACCTACCTAGCTTCCGGCGGTCCCTCCACAGGTCGCAACGCCCGAAATAAGCCTTGCAAACCTGGCACAGTGCGCAAGCTTTTTGCGTCAATCAAGGTGAGCCACGCTGTGTTGGTCTTGGTCTTCTTGGATCTTCCTCATCGCCTCCCCCGGTTTGCACCCCCCTGCTTCAGCCTATCCGTCCAATTGGTGTCTGTTTGTTCAAGTCGGAATACGGGGAACACTCTTTTTTGTTTTCTCGATCAGAATTTTGCTCGGGTCCAGTTCTGTTCAGCAACCGAGGAAGCTTTAGAGCTTCCAGCCCAGCGATCTCCTGGAGTCGCCGCACCACCCCAGCTCTATCGGCTCTATGTATGTGGTTTATCTGTCCATCTGTTCATTTTTCTTATCGTGTCCATAATATTGTTGACTATGATAATCCAAAATTGTGAGTTAAAAGTAGTAAATGCTTGTGATCAATTGTCCTGGCGTCATTGGTCTATTGGCAGCGATATCCCACACGGGAACTAAAGATCCACAAGAAAGGTGCTCTAACGGTTCAACTATTGAATAGAAACCTTCTCTGCTTCCAGGGAATAATTAAACTCATGTTGACAGACCACTTGAGACACTGGCAAGACTGGGAAATGGGACAAGAGTACAGATAGTGCTTGTGATCTTAGGGAATCATGGTGCAAGTTTGTAAATATTGTTGAAACCACGGGAGAGACTGTATTCCTCTTAGAGGTTCTCTAAATATGGTTCATGAAGCTTCATGAACTAGAGTAACCAGACCGTGACAGAAGTATACTCTTCTCATTAATACAGGCCAGTAGAGGTAGTACAGCTCTAGACAGGTTACTACATATGTAGAACATAGTCTTTCCTAAGTAATAGTGTGATAAAACCCTTAGATGAAATTGCATAAGCTTCGTGGGCTTTTTAATAAGCTTGCCTACTAGGTAGCGCTTGCCTCTTGCTCTTCGAGGGTAGCTTTCCTCATACTTCGGTCAAAAGAACACAAGCTCATCCCTTTAAGCCGAATTATTAAAGGGGTAAGGGCTCAAAGAGGTGTGTATGTATTCTCTAGCTAGGATCCTATAGTCAGGCTACATATAGAGATATGGGGCCTGAGGGCCTAAGGCATATATCTTAACACTACCCTATAGCCTAATCTATAGGTTAAGTAAAGCTATCTTATTATACATTATAGCTCTTTATAGCCTTCTTCTTGGTATTTTCCTTACTTTATAACCTTATTTTTTCTTATAATCTATTTTCTTTTAATTAATTTTCTACTAGCTTTTTTATATTAAGTTAATATAAAAATTCCTTATAATTCTATACTTTTAGTAACTTTATTAGTTTATTAGTAACTATTTTTTATATTTTAATATACTAAAAGTTAAAATAACCTATTTTAGTT